GTTAACACTGTTCCACTTTGCAGGTGAATATTAATAAATAAAGACCCATTAATTGGAGCACTGACTGGAACTCAGGTGTTGCCTAATCAGGAGGTTAGAGTCATTGTTGCTCTCTTGCTTAATGACTGCTTAAATATTTTGCACAATAGGAGGAACTGCAGATACTCCACACTGACATGTCCTGTAGCTTGATGGCTAGGACACTCACCTGAGAGCTGGGAGTCCCAGAGTCAAAGCTCTGCCCTGAACCCAGAGATTGGTTCCAAAGAGCTGATTTGAACATGGCTCTCTCACCTCTTGCGTGAGTGCCCTAACTGCAAGGGTATTCTGAGGTGGTGCATTTTTGCTATGAATTTGCAACTATTCACATAAAAATATGCCTAATTGTAATCTGGACTGCTCTGAGCTCTCAGGGGGAGTTCAGGGAACTCAGCAACTGTGGCTTGTATGATTCTGGTTTCACTGAAACATAGCTTGTGCTTAGACAAAAATATTTCTGTTTCAGTTAGACTTTAATGGACACACAGAGCTGCAAAATCAAAAGTGTCTGCATTTTTACAGGGGCATATGAATATATTGGTTCTGATGTTGTGAAGTAAAGGCCACACTTTTAGAAGACGTGTTACCTAGCAGCATTTATTCAAAATTCAGTTAGCTTGAATCAAGGTATAAGGATGGTCAGACCAAAGGCTTTGATTTGGCTCATTGAAAACATGGAAGAGCTTAGCATGAAATTTCGAACTGGGTTTGAAGTTTGAAGACCCTCCAGTATTCCAGTGTTTGGCAAAAGTTCCATTCTCTGATTTCCCAGTGAGCATTTCTCTAGCTGCATATTTTCTAGTCTCTGGCTCTCAGGGCACAGGATTTGTTTCGCTGCATAGCAAGCTGTCTGGGCCTCACTGACCATTCTGTGAGGTGAGTTCCAGTGGAGGTTTACTGGAAAAGGTGTCCCATTAGATGTGTTGAAGAATAACTGAGAACTAGACCAGTCCTACTTAAGGCTGTCACCCCCATCCATTTCCTGTGGCTGTTCCCAAAAGCTCCCTGAGGAGGAAGAGTTGCAGTTTACATGTGCTGCTGTAAACTTTAAGCTCCAGATAAACTTTGGCACTGATACTGTGGTAACTTGCAGGTTGGGCTCTTCCAGGTCATGCATGTAAGCAGAGAAATCTGCCTTTTGAGAAGTCTTAAGGAGAAACTGCTTCACAGTGGGCATGTTTACACGTTGCCCTAAGGCAATGTAGCAATATGTTACATCACTGCGTGGCACACTACGGCAATGTAGCAATCACGTGGGCCAACATGTGATCACCAAGTACATCACCAGAATGGTGTGCTCTCCCAGTATAGCGTGCCACTATAGTGAGGTAGCTGGGAAATTTACCCATGCACCATGCACATGGCACAGTAACAGCTTGTACTGCACCACGCTTTAGTACTTCCAAAACAAAGTTCTTAAGTACAGCGCCATAGCAACATTGCTGTATGGTGACGTGTAGATGTGCCTAGTGATTATCATCCAGTTGGGTTTCACTGCAAGTGCAGATTTCTTGGGTCAAGGGGGAGCAGCAGTAGAAAAAGGCACTCGATTTCACACATCTTGGTGAGTGTATGCAACACAGTGTCTACATCCAAGTGGTAACAAAGGTATCTAAGATTGTGTGATAACATCTGACAAATATTGACCTCTTAGGCTAGAGACAGACATTACACATAAACTGGTTTAAGTGATCAGAAACTGGTTTAAACCTGTAACAGAACAGATGTTCAGTGCATATAAACCAGTTTGAAAATGGCTGAAACCTGTTTGAGAATAACCTGGTTGAATGTAGTATCAGACAGTGGCAAGGCGTAGAGGGTGCATGGGGGTGCACGTGTACCCCCTGAGAGTGCTGGTGCCCCTATTGTAAGGCCGTGCTCCCTGTGTAGGCGATGGGCAGGGAGGAGCACCTGTGCCCCCCCTGTGAGCGCCAGCCAGGGAGCAGGGCCACCAGCAAAAGCAGCCGCGCCACTTTTTGAAGTGGCCGTGGGACTTCCAGAAGTGGCGTGGCCACTTTTTGGCGAGTGCAATCGGCCGCTGCCCCCCCTCCCACCTGTCAGCACGATTGTGGCACGTGCCCCCCCCGACTCAAGAGGCACCAGTCACCCATGGTATCAGACTTAACTGATTTGGGTCAAACCGGTTTATGCAATGTCTCTCCCAGACATCTTCCTGGTTTAAGTTAAACCTAGTTGGATGTAGTATCTCCCTTAACTGATTTGGGTCAAACCGGTTTATGCAATGTCTCTCCCAGGCCACTTGCTGGTTTAAGACAAACCAGACACCTGGCATGCCAGGCATGCTCTCTAGGTTGGGCGGGGCTCTCTGCTTCACAGCAAGGCTGGCCCCTCCCCTCTGCTCCCTGGCCATAGCTCCTCTGGCATAGACTGGCAGATACAGCAGGGTCTGCTGGCTTCCCCATGCCTCCCTTCCCTTCCCCTCTCACCACTTGCTGCTTCAGCAGGGATCCCTTCCTCCCCTCTCCCACACCATGCACCATAGCCAGCATGTGATATGCTAGTTAGTACTGTATAAGGCTCTGGCAGAGACTGCAGACACAGCAGGATCTGCTGTCTTCCCCTTGCCCTATTCCCCCATGCTGCTCAAGCAAGAAATCCCCCCCCTCCCTTCCTCCCTTCTCCTGCATCATGGACCCCAGCCCCACAGACCCTAGGCATGCTAGCTAATGTGAGAGGTGTCTGTGTGTGTGTGTCTCTCCAGTTTCATTGGGACAGGCACGCAGACAGAACAGGGCTTTTGGAGCTAATCAATAGATCACCCCAGTAAGCTGTTTAAGCAGAGTTTGAAGTAATGGGGGAGAGGCTATTGCTTTGCTAATCGGGTGATAAAGACTCTTAGCAGCTCTGGGCTACCTTGCTTATCTGTCAGTTTGCTTCAGACAGTCTGGCAAGCAGGGAGGGAGGTTGAAAAGCTCTGTATCATCAACTGATACATGCACTGCACCACCTTCCCCCCTTGTCTTAAAGTGCTAGCAGGGAAAAGCCTGAGATGGTGCAGGCAGATCTCCCTAATGAGAAAGCCCTGCTGGGGCCTGGCCACGCCCCTCTCAGCTCAACTCTGTGCAAGGGAAGGGAGGGCTGCTCTAGTGCCCCCTGGCTTCTAGCCTGAGCCACTGCCGGCATATGCCTGAATTTCTTCAGTCCAGAGGGATTGTCTGTATGGTTGGAAACCGGTTCAGACCTAGCCTGCATAGACTAACCTGCAAAGGTTGAATCAATTCAGGCTCACGCTTTTTGAACGTCTGTCCCTAGCCCTAATGAAGATGAGCTAATAAGATTATTAGTAATGGTATTATGAGTTTACAGATTTAGAGGAAAATTAGATAACATCAAGATTTACTTGACTTTTAAGGATACATAGAGATATGAGATCAAAATTGCCCATGTTTTTACAGGGGCACATGAACATATCGGTTCTGACCTTGTGAAGGAAATGATGCCACACTTTAAAAGACCTCTTACCTAGCAGTATTTATTCCTATTTTTGTAATTCAGTCATGCTGCCTATGAATACACAAGGGCATGGATAACAAGTAGTTTTAAATTTAGAATCACAGCAGTACAAGTGTTGCTCAGCAAGTGCTTCCAGAAAAATACACCATTCCAGCCCGTAAGCAAGAATACATTTTCTCATATAATTTGTTTTTCTGCAGGATGCTTTGAATGAGCAAAGCAATGCAAGTACACCTGTTCTTACTTTTCTAAATGTAGGTACAAGGTACTACCTGACAGAATCTGTCATTAACTATTCACAGACTTCCTGTGGTGAAAGGGGAGAGTCGTGTGTCTGATAGAGCTTCTTAAAATCTTGATAATGTTTACAGTGCAGCTGTCTTCACAAAATGCCCCATAGTCACTGTAAATCTGTAGAAAGATCTAAGATATAACATCCATGGAAGTCAAAGGAAGATTGCCAATGATTACATGAGCAATGAAAGAGGACCTATATGGACAGAGAAATGTTCATAGATTCATAGATTCATAGATTAAGGGTCGGAAGGGACCTAGTAGATCTTCTAGCCCGACCCCCCGCCAGGGCGGGAGAACAACAAAAAACCCCAAAAAGAGAAACGGGACTCAAATGAGTCCAGCCAGGTAGGCATCCAGCCTCTTCTTAAAGACCCCCAGGGTAGGGGCCAGCACCACTTCCCTT